CGATACCGGTGAGAAATGCCGCCGATATCAGTTATTGTTATATACTCCAGTATTATTCGCGCATTTGGATTATAGCCGGTCCGTTGCTCGGGGTCGGTCGAAAATATATATATTTTTTTTTTTCATTTCCACTTGACCGTTGGCAATATAATATTATCTTCAATTTTTCTATAGGGTCCGGGGTTCGACGCATAGTGTATTTATTATTATTATTATTATTTTTTTTTTTGGCTGGTAAAAAAATACGAATTTCTATGTATTGCTGAAAACCGATAGTTATTATACCGAATTATGAGCAGAGACGTATTTACATTTTTTGTGCCCTAAAGCATTGTTTCTTCATCGCCCTGTTTTTTTTTTTTTTGCAATACGCAAGCTCGGATTAAAGGGGGCGGTCCAGGGAGGGCCATGGCCCCCGGGCCACCAGACTCTCAGGGCCTTAGGTTTCACCACAGTATGTTCTTTTTATGTATGCATTTATATAACCATCGACTTTGTAGTTTGATAGTTAAATATTTTTCCACTGCCTTATCATGGCTTATTCATATTATTATATAGTAGAAAATGCTGTACAGTAACTTTGTTAAAAATAATATATTTATTTAATATACTCGTATTTTATTTATTTATTAATTGAAATAATACTTGGGGCTTTTAAATTTAGATCTATATGGTGTTTATACTATTTATTTATTTTTTTTAAAACATATTGATTAGTAAACATTAAAAAAAATGCTAATGTTAGTCTTTCAACGAGGTTCTCGTTGAAAAGTTTGATCTCGGAGCCTCTAAATGTTTTAATCCGGGCTTGACAATACCCTTGAATATTTTAAACCGTACTCTAATCATTTTGTACTGCCCGATTTGTGTTCTAAAAAGCGCTATTCTAGGCCCCGTTGAACGTTAAACCTAATATAACTGTGAGATGGGATTAATATATATATTTTTTAAAACTACTATTTTCCCATATATTAAAAAAAAAAGGACGGTCATACTTCGCACGTGGGTGCAGCCACTGTTGTAGGTGATAAGTTGGAAAGATAGGATACAGACGAAAATTTAATGTATATCTGTAAATAACGATAAGCCATTGCTAACGAAAAACGATTCTGAGCGGAGTTCAGTTGATAATGTTGCTTTGTCAACAATACAATATATGGTATATATGTCATATTATGGTAAAATGATTAAAACAATATACGTTTCCATGACAAAAATGATTGTTTAAAAAAGATTAAAATAATAAAAACTTAATAATAACAAAAACTAAATAAAAACAGTTGCCAATGACAACTTTGTTTTTAATCTTTTTTAACCTAAAGACCGAGGCTTTCCTCGTTATCTCGAATATTAATGAGAATTTCAAAAAATGACCTCTTATAGTAGCACCCAGAGAACATTTGCTTTCAGAAAAGGTGCTATACTTGATAATCGGAGTATGTTTTCTGGTAGATAAAGTGTTCATATAAAAAAAAAAAATAAACATCATTGTTAAACTGAAACATTCCTCGTTCCACTAAGAATCTAAAAAAACAAATTCAGTATCGAGTTTACTCAGAATATTCGTATGAAAGATAAGATCACGGGTTCGTGGGTAAAAGACACTCCGATGTCCTTATGTTGAAATTCGCGAAGTCAAAAGGTCTTGCGGGAGGATACGATTTTCGACGATACCGCCCACTCTGACGGCTGTGCTGCAGTCTGTCGCTGTCACCGTGTCGTTGAATTTCGGTCGTATATTATTTGTAAATGTATCGTGTGACGATCGTAATCTGATGACGAACAGACAGTGCGGACGACACAAAAACCCCGGACCGCTGCCACAATTCACTCCGATAATGATAATAATATTATGTTAACCTAATCGTTGTCGCAAATCTAGATGAGGTGGGTAAGGACGCATAATAATAATGATAATAAAAAAAAAAACCACCATCAGTCACCGCCATCAACCACACCATTCATACCGGACGTATCGATTAAAATAGAACTGTTTCGCGGGGCGAATTGAATCGCTGGTAAGACGATACTGCATTACCGCGACCCCGACGGTATAAAATCGGATATTTTATTTAACAGAGAAAAAAAGAGAAAAAAAAAACAATACACCGAACCGAAACGTGTATTTTTTTTTTTTTTTTTGTTCTATTTCGTAAAAACCATTCAAAAATAATACGACGGTACAATATAATAATAATTTTTATTATTATTCGGTAGGCGTTTCCGGCTGCGGCTCTTTTTTTTCCTCCGATTTTTAAACAATATAAAACTGCCAACTCGAAAAAACCACAGAAACAGCAGCAGCAGCAGTACCACTAACTGCACGGCAAACATATCAATTATCCCATTGTATCCGAACACAAATCGGACACAAAGATACCCCATCGGGATTTCACGTATTATATTATACTTAGGTACACGTTTATAATAATAATACTAAACTATATTATATTGTATACGTCCTTTTTACTTCTCTCTCTCTATTTTATTTAATACGGTAATGTTTTAATAATAGCCAACGAATACTATAATAATAATAATAATAATAATATTATAACCTCCGTGTTTTTTTTTCTCCTTTTTAATTCAATGCTCCGAAATGGGCGTGTCTCCGTAAACGCCCCACCTGGTTGGTCCGCGTGTATAAAAACGTCAAACGAAGATAATAATAATATAATCGTCCTGTGTATACATCATCTAATTAATTACCTACCTACGGCACAGTATAGAAGGTATAACTATAAAACCACGCACAGTTTACTATATTTTTATTCTCTTGTATATTATGTACCTGCATTACATTTGATGTGTAGCGTAGATAGATACCAAAACTGATAAACAACTAAATTGTGGTTAAAAAGTTAAATAAAAATGCGCAGTTATTGTAACTTGAAGCATTAATTTTTTTATACGGCGATCCCAATAATTATAATAATTATTAGCTTATTAAATTACGGGTTATTCGCGGTCGAAACAAATTATAAAACAAACATCCGTTTTCGGGGTTCCGCAAATCTTCTTTTAACACGGGCCATGGAACCATGAATGAATCATGAACCGGATTTCAGACATTAAACCCCTAATGTCTAAACCCATCCTATGTTTTTGGTAGTTTTGGAACGAAAAATACATTTTTTACTTTGATAGATTTATGGGTTATTTTGGCGACGCGGAAACAAAAACAATTATTATTAATCCCGGGCAATGAAATTAATTTTTAAATTCTAAACTTCTGGGTAACGACTGAAGATGACGGGAACCCCATAAAAATACGGTATTGAATACGTTTTGCCTAGTGCAATAGTGTACACGGACAATCAATAGTATACGAGAATTGCATTTTATAGGAAAAATACAAAGCGTATTATCGAAAATACTTTGTCTACACAAAATCGATCTATAGACATACTTAAACAAACAATAAAATCAATAATATTGCGAATCTTGAAAATTCCATCGTTTGATTGTACGTCGAGTTGGATTCTGCAACTGCACCAGTTGTTATAAAACCTCGCGAATCCGTTAAAGCACGCGCATTCCCCGAACGCGCTAAAAATCGGTACTATTTAGGTACTAAAGTATTTTCGACGTATACTGCGATCCCGACGGTTTTGCAATATACAAAAGAAACCGAATAATAAAAATCAATAAAAAAAAAAAAAAATAAAAATACGCACACACTCGTAATTCGTCCATAAAATCCGCGGAATGTCTGCTGCGTATTTAATATTATTACATATATATATATATATATACACATATACATACATATAATAGTATATTAAAGTAGAGGTTTTATATATTTTATCAAATAAAATATATCATCACCGTCATCATCGTCATCGTATTGTGTACGGACGTGTGCGTGCGCGTTATATATAATTATTTTGTTCTGAAATACACGACGTTTTAAGTGGCAGACGTTTTCGATATACGGAAAAAAAATAAAAATAAAATATGATTGAGAGCGGAGAAAAATTTAAGACGCCCGTATTTTGTGTAATCATAATAAATATAATATTTTCTGCCCGAGCACGGTGTTGTGCTATAAGTGTTTATAGATATGCACAGCTGCAGGTATTTCAATGACTTTGACAGTGACGTCGTCGGTTAATATAATATAATATGAAGTATAATTCACATCCGATTAAAAAAAAAAAAAAAAAAAAATAAGATATGGGGTAATTTAATTTATATCTGTGTTTAACGGTAAATCATCGCTGACGGAAAACGATTCTTAGCGAAGTTCGGTTGAACGTTATTTGATAAACTTAAATTGAGAATTGTGTTCATTTACAACTATAGAAAATAAATTGCATTATTATAACGCGTGTTTGTCCCTCTCAGATTTTCGAGCACTCTCATGGAGTCCAAACGAGTTTTATCCACATAAATCGTAAAATAGTTTACGTGAAATATCGTGGTTCTTATGATTTCCATTAAATGTTAAACTTCAAACGTTTATAAAAAAAATGTTGAGTCTACGGATTTTCGACATTATTACAGTATCGTGATGGCGCAGTCGTAAATCAATTAGTGCGGTACTAATATTTGAAATATTAAACTGGGTGATTTTTTAAGGATGCTTACCCCGTGTGTATGGTTAAATTATGCATACATTTAAATTCTGAATAAATTTTGAAATAAAAAGACCTCGTTTTGTTAAATTTGAATCTAGTTGGTGTTTAAGTAAGTCGTGTTTTTGATTTTCCGAGTTGTTCTTATCATAATTGAGCAAACTCGGCAGAAAAAACACATTGAAAAAAAGGGACCGTTTACGGAAATAATAGTTTCATTATTTTCAACTTTGTTTTGTTGTAATTCAGTTGAAATATTCGTAGAGGGCTGAAATTTTCACATAATACATATATTAACCTTTTCAAGACGTGGTAATATTTTCAACACTTTTAAAATTATAAGCATTTTATTGGGCGTACAAATAGAAAACTGCCGTTTTTTCTCATAATTTAAGGCTTTATTGTAAAAAACTCGTTACATACTCATTCTTCAAAATACTTTCCATCACTAGCCACAACTTTCTGCCATTTTTGTGGCAGCTTCTGAAAAAATTGTTCGTCTTTTGACACGATCCATGAATCGATCCAATTTTTGGCTTCGGCGTAAGAACGAAAGTGCTGTTCGGTCAGATCATGCGTCGTCACTCGGAATAAGTAGAAATCAGAAGGGGCGATGTCAGGGGAGTACGGCGGGTGGGGTAGTATGTCCGATTTCAAAGTTTCCAGGTATGTTTTCACGACCTTGGAAACATGCGGCCGAGCGTTATCATGCAGAAGTATTATCTTATCGTGTCTTTCCGAGTATTGCGGGCGTTTTTCCTTCAACGCTCGACTCAAACGTATAAGTTGCGTCCGATAGAGGGCTCCTGTAATGGTTTCGCCTGGTTGCAAGAGTTCGTAGCACACTACGTCAAGCTTGTCCCACCAAATACACAGCATCAGCTTCGAGCCATGAATGTTTGGTTTCGCTGTCGAAGTTGATGAATGGCCGGGAAGCTCCCACGATTTTTTCCGCTTCGGGTTTTCATAGTGTATCCACTTTTCATCGCCAATCACGATGCGATGCAAAAAACCCTTTCTGTTTTGCTGTTGGAGTTGTTCGCATGTGAAAAGGCGCCGTTCAATGTCCCTCGGCTTCAACTCGTACGGCACCCAATGCCCCAGTTTTTGGATCATTCCTAAGCATTTTAAGCGATGAGAAATGGCATGCTGAGTCACGCCCAATAAATTTGCAAGTTCCCGTTGCGTTCTACAAGAATCTGCATCTAACAAAGTTTCCAATTTCGAATCCTCGAACTTTTTCACGGGTCCTTGTCTTCTACGTCATATTCACCATTTTTAAACTTATGAAACCATTCCCGACACGTTCTTTCACTAATATAACGTTCACCATAAGTTTCTACAATCATTCGACGCGCCTGAGCTGCATTTTTTTTTTTAATGAAATGCAAAAAGTAAAACTTCCTGCAAATGATTCTTACTCGGCTCGAATTTCGCCATTGTCGTGAATGAACAAAACAAAGCACAGTAAAAATAGACGAGCGAGATTTTGTTGAGTTGTTGACTGATGCCTCAACTGGCTANTTGACCTTGCTGGTGCAACCTATGGGAAAACGGCGGTTTTCTATTTGTGTAACCAATATATTTTATGAATTGTTTACGTAGTTTTTCTTTGGTAGGTACATCTGGATAAAATTGTTTGATTGAACAGAAATTCTTGAAATTTTATTACGAGGTTCATTATAAGTCGCACTTTCTGGTAAAAAAAAAATGTGTGCGTAATGAAGTAGTTTTTTTGTAATCGGTTAAGATCGAATTTTAATAAAAATTATTAGGTACGTCTACGTCATTTCAAAAAAGTACAACTGAAGAATCGTATTTCTTTAGCAATGGCTCATCGTTGCTCATCGATTTAAATAAAATTACATTATTGTGTATCTTGTCTTTCCAACTGTCCACCCACAATAGTCACGTGCCCATTAGCAGAAGTATCAGCTCTTTTTTTTTATCATACTGCGGGTACGTACAGTGGCGGCATGACCGAGATTTGTTGGGACGACTGTCCAAGACGAAAATTTGATGTGTAGATGGGTTGGTATATTTATAACTGGACAGTTGTCAATTTTTTAGTTGCCACCAGATTCTAGATCACTTGTGGATGAAGAAACATTATCAGTATTTCAGGGGTATGCATGATGAGTTGAAAAAAATTGTATACAAATTGTCCGACAAATTAAAATTGTTTGCGCCACCACTGGGTACGTATATGCTTCATTATTGTTATTTTCAAAAATATTTCTAAAAATCGTTTAAACTATAATAATACTTAAAAATGTTTTAACGATAAAAAAAATAAATAAATATATGTCTGTGCTCATCCCCCGTGATGACGGTGTATTTTACTGTAAGTGTCTCGCGAAAAGCGCCCTCTTTATATATCATTTACGATGTTGATGTTCCTAAGTATAATGAGTGTGTGTACATTATGTATATAACAGTATATCGCTTGCACCGTCGATATTTTCGCGGTACGTATAAGACTGTTTAAATATAATAATAATAATATGTACTTGGCGCGTATAGTGCCACGCCGCAGCCGAGGGCTCCTCGAGGGACCCTTAAATGAAAACAATTAAAATGTAAGGTACAGGTTAAGTTCCGCGGCGCTATATATTATTATATATAAGTCGTGGTGAAGTGGATTGCACGTGTCAGACACGATTATTTGGCCCTCGGACGCGCGGGGAAAAAAAAAAAAAAAGGGGTGGGGAGGGAATTGTTAAACTTTAGAGAGAGAAAGAAATCATTAAAAACACGTTTTAAAAGCATCGCGAGATCCGCAGTAATGGCGGTTTTCTATATAATGACGACCGGGGAATGCGATCAAAAACGAGGATATATATATATAAATAATATTCGATATACACAATACAACGTTCCGGAGAGCGGAATGATTATTGCAATCTATTTCCAATTAATATCGCGGCGGTAAGCCTCATTCCGGAGATTCGCCCCGTGTTGGCCAGTTTTTAATGAACGAAAACCTGTCATTGGTTTTAATTAAAATTATATTATAATTCAGTGTCATATCTAAGACGCCGCCGCCTCCGCACCGTCTTCTACGTGCTTTTTAAATTATTTAAAATCGCATATTTCCCCGCTAGAGATTATCCGAACATTAATAATCCACTGTTGGAGCGCACGACCCTACGCGTATTTCGGTATTATTTGCATTCGTTCAACACTTATTTCCAAAACATAGTATTTCGAATATTCTCGAAATATTACCTATAGTGTAATATAAGTGCGATAAGAATCCACCGTTCGGGACAAGTTACTCGTGAGCGAGTACCAGTGTAAAAAAAGACGGACATGCTTCGCACGGTGGGTGCGGCCTTTGTTGTTGGTGAAATATTATGGTAAATACTTAAATAGGCATTATTTATGTTCAATAATAATATTTGTTTAATATAATACCAAATTTCCCGGTTTTTCACATTTTTTGGGAAAACCCTTGAGAGAGTCGAAAAATTACCTCCTAAAGTACCACCTCCAAAAAATGTTCGTTTCAAAAAAAGGTCTAAATTGCATACATTGGAATAAGATTTCCGGCAGGCAAAGTGTTCACATAAAAAAAAAAAACAATAATAAACATCTTTGTAGAACCAATACAGTATTCGAAGAATGTTTTTGCTCGCTACACTCAGAATCTAAAATGTAATCGTACATTTTCGATTTTTACTGTCATGGCTCATAAATTACGAATAGAAGTTGTAAACATTAAAAAAAAAATCGTTTTTTTTTCAGCAATGCCTGTATGCAGGTATTTCAGCAGCTATGGATAATATTCCATATTATATATTATTATTATAGTCTAGAGACGAAACAATACTCATCTGCAGTTTCAATCTGTGTTGCTGTTTTAACGATATGTTATAATTTTATATCGAATTTATTTTAGGTGACGCTTTGGATTTCGTCGCCAACACGCATTCATTTCTCTAAAGAAGCGATACGTTATTAAAATGTTGAATTATATACCTTATAATTATATACCTTTAATAGCGGAAATCCGAAAAATATCGCAACTGCTTTGTATATTTGTAGATACCTATTAAAATGATTAGCGTGCTCAATGTTCAGTGATGATATCCCAATTTCGAGACAAATGTCAATTAAATTTACGGGGTCGTGGGGTTCAACCTCGTTATTATCCTCATTATATTATTATTTTCGTTGTAAATGTATAACTCTAATCAGTACAGAAACTATGCAACATTTGATGGTTTTAATCTTTAATTAAAGTTATTTTCCATAATCCCTCCCTTTGAACATTTCTGTGCACTCTTCTATTCAAATCCTCCCCTATTTCAACAATAAACGCGTAGGTAATTAATGTTTAAAATATTTATTTAGATACAAAAATAAATTAATAACAATACATTTTTGTCGATAAGCTACCCCCCACTAATAAAAAGTGGCGAAAATCCCAAGGGAAGGTGATCCACCGATTCTCCTCTCCGAACTCTAGATATCACGCTAGTTAACTATACGAATCGAAGAAACAAAAATAAAATATGAACTTAAATGACAAGCTGAAACAAAATAAGATAACTCTGATATTTTGAATAGAATTAATGTTTTATAATAATTTGAATATTTTACACATCCTGATTTTTTTTTTTTTTGAAACTTTCTAGTCAATCTTCACGTGGTGTCTCATAAGCTGGACTCGCTCAACTTGACTTTTTCCAAAATAAATACGCGAGAACCCAACTCATGCCGTTTTTAAAACTCGGGACCTGGCTCAAAGTTATCTAAAGTAAGAGTACGCCGCATATAACTACAAATCGTTTTGTTCCTTATTATAGTGGCGGGCAGGTAGCAGCGATATTATATCCGGCCGTTGTCGTTTGATCGGCGCGGGAACACTGAAACAAAAATATTTTCACAAGGTACTATACTATTTATATAAAGTAATAATATTATTTTGTCTATGGTAAAATCCCACGATTTTTATTTAGGTATAGTATAATATTATAACAACTAAACGGTAAAACTCACGAGGATTGTAAAAACCGCGTCGTATATAAAACGTATTATATTGACCTTTTTTTAATATGATGTTATTATATTCAACAATAAAAAACGTTTCGACGACAATCTTCGCGTTCATACACTATACACCTATACGCATTATTGATAAACGCACGTTTCTTCGTATATTATTTTAATGAAAAAAACACTCACGAGTATTATAGATTGTAAAAATATATACAGGGTGATTTATTTATCGTGATCGAGGTATCTACGAATATTTTTAATATATTTTGTATATAATCGTTTAATGGTCATGTTTAGAATGTTTCCAAAAATGTCACCCTTATTCCGAACAACCGCAAACAGTTGTCGGTTATTGATTTTCAAATCGCTTATCGCAAAAAAAAAAAAAATAATAACAGTAATAAAAAGACGCGTCGTAGTAAAACCGACGTACGCCTCGCTTCGTTCAGAATCTAAACAAAAAACCGATCACCCTGTATACGGGAGACAGAATTCACCTGCGGCGGCCTGACGATTACGATACAGAACCGTGTGGCGTACGCATTTCGTGTCCTCGGGACATTCGTCGTCGTCGTCGTCGCTCGGTGTAATCGTATACGCGTAGTACCCGCGTCCCCCACTCTCACTCGTACCATCTTACCGCGGAATCCCTCGTGCGCCGTAAGAACAGTGTATTGACGACAACGATACAGTTTTTTCGTGATGAATACGTAATGGGTATCTGGCAGGTATGAACGGATGATGATAGAGAAAAAAAAAAAAAAAACAAAAA